TTTCCCTACCAAGAATGTAATCCTATACTCCAGCCCAATCATTGTTAGGAGTGAGGCATCCTGTGTGTTATCACCATCGGATGGACTAGGGTTGAAAAAGGTTATTATTATTATTATTATTATTATTATTATTATTATTATTATTTTATCTTAAAGCTCTCTAAATTTCTAGTCCTGAAATTCCTAACCTAAGTTCTTTAAGCATGACTTACAAAGGCTATTGTAAAAATTGGAAATATTAACTCAAAATACATTTTTAAAAAAATCATTTAATATTTTATAGGGCATAAGAGATACCAGTATAAATGGTTCCTTAGTTATTGGTCAAGAACTACTGTTTTAGTCTCTTTTCATCATAGATCACTATAATTTGGAGGCCCCCTCCAATGCAGTACAAATTCCAGCCTTCTTCTCCTGTGGTCAGTATACCATTGTTGCTAACACACAAGAATTTGTCATAGTTAGCATGACTATACTCCATGAAGACAAGTGCTAACTCTGGTTCTGCTTCCCCTTCTACCACCATCAGCACCAGCAATAGTGTCTGGTTCATAGTAGCCATACAATATGTCTAGTGGGTGACTGAATAAACAAATGAATTAGGAAAAAATAAGGTCCTACAGCCCCAAAAACTGTTGTTAACTTTAACATACTCTAGTTGCTAAATATAAAAACAAAGAGATGAGGGAAGTTCCTAGAAATCTTTTGAGTGGTGAGAACAAATGATTAAGAAATTACCAAAACAAAGGAATTGGTAAATGTTTGAGATGATGAATGTACTAATTACCTGATCTGATCATTACACATTGTATTCATATGCTGACAAATCACACTATACCCAATAAACATGTATAATTGTTACATGTCAGTTAAAATTTTTTTAAAATCTTCTCTTCCCCCAAAACAAGTCTAGTTCTGACTTGTTATTTAGTTGGGACTGCCCACTTTAACTACTTACGGTAAAATAGATTAGTATGCTCTCTGAATGAGAATTATGCTGAAATAATTTGGTCAAAGGCTAGGTAATCAGAATATTTTCTGTTGAGTAAACAGGAAAGAAAAAAGTTCTGTCCCTTATTGGAAAGCTCTTCAATATATAAGCCCATTTTCCTGCTCAAGTGAGTTTGGTGAACAGGATATTGTTATGATTCAATATCTTCCGGGTTGTCAGGATTCATTGCAAATATAAATATATGATGTATTATGGATACTGTTAAGGACACTGAGATGAAGTTGATTTGAGTGAGAGTGACTTTATAAGTAGCATAAGAAAATGATAACCCACATGGTTTGATTTGAGAGGTGCTGAGAAGGCTCCTTTTGCAAGAAATACCTCTCCTGTGGATTGTTCCAGTATCTGAAATTTCCAAGTTTAGTTTTGGATTACAGGTTATCTGTATTCAAGGGTCCCATTTAAAAGAAAACGAACTCATGCATCAGCCTGAATGAGCAAACTAGATGATGAAAGATCTTATTTACTGGACAAGAACAGGTCATAGAACATACTTTTTGAAAGGGTGGCAAGAGTAGAGGTAAGTCCTGAGCAATGACTACTGCCAGAGGCATGCAGATCTGAGGGGTCGCAGAGCTAGTAGGAGCATGAGAATCCTGGTGTTTGGAAAATAAAGTGCCACAAAGCCTAGAAGGGCCCTTAAAGATCCAAAACTACTACTTTGGATTAACATGTACTTCCAAACCTTGTCCATGGGCAACATGTGTTCAGTATTCTGAAATCCAAATTGTTCCATCCATTTCTGAAATTTATTATGTTGATTTCAGCTCAGCTTCTAAGCTATGAAGATCACTTGGAGGCATGATTCTGTCATTTATTAAGTGTGCCTTCTGTGTTTTTGTCAAGTCACTGTTTGTTTGTTTTTTTAAGAATTATTCTATTTAATTTTATTTATTATCATTATTATTATATATTTTTTTTAATTTGACCAGAGGGAAGGAGGGGGGAGAGAGAGTAAGAGAAAGCAAGCCGCCAGGTCCAGGACTCCCATATGGCCAACCAGGTTGGGAGTCCAGCGTTTCAACCATCATGCCACCTGCTGGCCCCAAGTCACTGGTTCTTAATCTTGGATTCAAGGAGTCTGTAATTAATCTAAAACTGTATGTGACACTTTGTATTTACAAGAATTTTTCAGTGAAGAGAGGTCTAGACTTATTTTTTTAAAGAATTGTTTTATTTAACTTTAATTGACCAGAGAGGGACAGAGTGAGAGAGTGAGAGAGAGGGAAAGTGAGAAAGCAAGCTGCCAGGTCTAGGACTTGAACTGTGGTCAGCCATGTGGGAGTTCAGCGCTTAACCACAACACCACCTGCTGGCCCCCAGAGTCTAGACTTCTAAAAAGAATCTCAAGGTTATCCGTGACCTAACAAAAGGTTAAAAACTACTGATCCAACTATTAATTAGTATTTTGAGCCGAACAGTGCTAATAAGACCACCATTGATGCCTTCCTTCATGGTTAGCACTGATCCATGAGAAATTTTGGAGTTAGTTGTTGGCTATCATATTTCAGTCTCTTTTTTCATAATTTGAATTGTAAAAGTGGAAGGGGAAAATGAATTCTAGCTACTTTGACATTTGGGTCATTCAGATTTTTTTTTTAATTGTTTGGTGCTTAGTTTTAAATCTCTAAGTGTTATGTCATTCTTCAGACCTTTATCATTTTACTTCCTGTACCCATCAGACACCATATATCAAAGCATTATAGATGCTTTAAAAACATCTCTGAGATTGGGTGCAATTGACACATCTAAAAATATATATTAGTAAAACTTTTCTATCTTTCCTCTCTATGGTTCTGGACAAGTGTTATGTTACTTTCCATTTCAACTCACCTTAAAATCTACAAAGACTCTATCTCAATCAATATATATAGCTTTATGTATCTATATATATCTTTACATATATATATGCACACACACACGTGTGTGTGTATAAAGGGATTTGTGCTTTAATAAAATCCTTTACATAAAAATCTGGATGTGATAAGTTAGAGCTTCATTACTTCATTTAAAAAGGATGCACCTTAGAAGGACATCAGACACAAAAAAATTACATTGATACCATTTGTGTGTAGGTCAAGAAAATACAAAGCTAATCGCTAGTGATGGTAAACAGACCAGTCCCTAGGTCTAGGGCAATGATGGGATTGCAAAAAGGAGCATGAGGAAACATTTTGGACTCAGGGGAATATTCTCTATCTAGATAGGTATAGTGGTTTTGTGGGTGTGCACATCCATCAGAACTCATTAATTCGTACACTTGAAATAGGTACAGTTTATTGTACATAAAATTTAAGTCAATAAAATTGTTTATAAAAGGATTTACCTTTGGAGTCACCAAAGTGAGATTTTATTGAGAATTATTGTACTTAAAATATGATTGATTAAAAAGTGAAAAAGTAAGTCTACTTGTAAATTTCAACATGGAATGTGAGTGAAATATGACCATGAAAAAGTTTTTGGATAGGTGATATCAATGCATTTTAGTTAGTGTTTAGCATTTAAACAAGAATTAATATATCATGTACCAACAGTAAAAAATATTATTTATATAACTAGTTGAGATAATCTAAAATAGATCTTAAGATTCATTTAGAATATCTTCCATAGTCTGTCCCTTCAGACTCAGTGATAACATAATAGCTTATTCAAAGCTAAATTGTACATCACCCATACCGTCAACATTTTGAATTCGCTAAAGGAAAATTGTATGTAGAGTTGTTTGCCTGTACATTATTTGGCATTTAAAAATTGGGTTATATTTTAAATTTGCTATGCTCAGATATTGGATACCAGGGTAATTCCTTGGGAAATCTAACATGATAAATTAAGTATTAATTATAAGATCTGGTTTTAAATACTATGTACTAATTAATATGTATCCTTTTCATATCCTCCTGTTGTTATGAGGAATTTTGCTCAAATTATAGATAATGCTAGTGAATTTTTGCCTTAGTGGTCAATATAAAAATGAAATGAATAGGGGGACCAGCAGTTAGCGTAATGGCTATGTTGCTGGACTCCCACGTAGTCGACCGCGGTTCGAGTCCTGGACCCGGTGGCTTAAACTCACGCCGGGCGCGTGTGCGTACGTGCCCAAGATCCCGAGAGGAGAATGGAGGAGAAGGGATTGCGGCGTGGCCATCCCCCCTGGGGGGTGATTTCCTGCTTTCTATCTCTCTGTCTCTCTCTGTCTGTCTGGCGAGCGCACGCGCCCTATAGCAAAAACCTCTCAAAAAAAAAAAAAAAAGAAATGAATAGGGAACCTCTGTCAACTAATCCTAGAAAAAATACTGAGTGTTTTTGTTTGTTCGTTTTAGAGGTTTTTACCATAGGGCATATGTGCTCACCATAGAGATGGACAGAGATAGTGAAGGGAAAATGAGAAATCTCCCCACCAGGGGGAATGGCCATGCCACAATCCCTTTTCCTCTATTCTCCTTCTGTGATCTTAGGCACTCACAGACACACACCAGGTGTGATTTTCAAGCCACCGGGTCCAGAACTAGAACCGTGGTCGGTCATGTGTGTGGAGGGGGTGGTGTCCAGCGACATAATCACTATGCCACCTGCTGAGCCCCATTAATGCCACATTTCATGTGTGAATGTGGAACAACAAGGAGTAGGTAAAAATATTTTTCTGATATACAACACAGTTGCTATTGCAAAACTTAACTGACTTAGAAGTTATTTGCTTTATAATTTCTTATTCTTACATGTTAGAAAAATTGCAAGTACTCTATACTAGTAATACAGGAACCCTTGATACACTTAACCATTATTTTGACCCATTTATTTTGGATTCATGCTAGGAATGAGTGAGCACCTTTGTTAGAAGAGGGCTGGTCCTAATGAAGGGAGAAGGTTAAGACTGGTTAGGTCGACAAAATTCAAAACACCCGTGATGGGTTCCTTGATGAGGAATGCTATACCTATGCCTTAACCCCTCCTTTTTCCTCATCACACAAAGGCTCAACTACAACCCCAGGCTGAGATTCAGGCTCTGGCTCCAGTTCCAGCTCCACTTGTGGCTCTGGTTCCAGGTGGATTTCAAGCTCAGGTACAGGAATAGGTTCTGGTCCTTGAGCAGGCTCTGGGTCAGTCTTCGGGACAGGCTCTGTTTCAGGCTCATGGTCTGACTCCAAAATGTTAGCAGGGTCATTCTCATGAACAGAGGATGCTTCTAGCTGGGTAACATCTTCAGTTGGCATGACTTCTCCTTCTGCACTTGGGCTTGTTTTTGTCATTGGTCTGCAAGAAAAATAACTTTGAAATTTCACATGGAATCAGAAACTCTGAGCCTTCCATGACACAAGTCTCAGACTGTTCAGGACATGTGTTATTTCTGATATTCTAATTCATGTCAGACCATATTGTCCATTGTGAGTTCAGAAAGGTTAGGTTTCAACAATATAATACAACTTTAAGACAGATCAGGGTTGGCTCTATGGCCTGGTAGATAAGGCAGCTGGATTTGACATGGCCAACCTGCTCAGTATGAATCTTTAACCTGAGGCTTAAGAAACATGCTGGGTGCATGTGTATGTGTGCCCAAAATCCTGAAAAGAGGAAGAGAGGGAGGAGAAGGGATTGCAGCATAAACGTACCCTGTGGGAAAGATGCTTTCTCCCACTGCTCCCCAGCCTCCACTATCTGACAAGCAAAGACACCCTCTAGCAAATAAGAGGAAAAAAAAGAAAGGGAGGGAGAGAGAGAAGGAAGGAAGAGAAAGAAAGGAGAGAGGAAGAAAAAAAGGAAGGAAGGAAGAAAAGAAAAAAAATTAAAAGGTGGGAAAACTGATGTCAGGATGAAAGAGTCTAAGAAGGTCTTTGAGGGCCAGATCCATAGCTCTGATGCATCTCTATCTCCTTACAATACTTGGCACTTGATTAGTATCTAATACATAGCTGTGGAATATACTAGAGAAGAAATAGCATCGGCTGTGGTCAGGGCTGCGTTCTGACTTCCATGGGCATAAGGTACTTTTGCCTTTGTGGGTCTCTTGTTTATAAAAATAAAAATACTTAAAATTATATTGTATGACTATTTTGGTTTAAAGACAAGTATATTACTATTAGATGTTAGAACATTTTTTGAACCTAAATGAGTTGTGAGAGTTAAATTAAAGTGCTAAGATCGGGGGGGGGGGGGCCACAACTCGGGGGGTGGCACAACACTCAGCATTAAAGTAGTGGGAGCGAGTAGACAGATCCCTCTGATATCTTATGCTAGAAGGAGTTCTTAGGAAGAGCCACTTGAAAGAGATATGCCTGAGAAATGTTCATATTCAAGTAAAGACAACAAAAGAAAGGCTTACTCAAGCTCTGTGGTGTTTTTAGATGCTCTTTTCCTTTCCTTTGCCTTTGCCTTTGCCTTGTTCCTTGCAAAGCACACAACAGAGGTGACAATGGCAACACCTACGAGGGTACCTACCAAGGCCCCAACAATGATTCCGACTTCTGGATCTGAAGAACACAAGCAACTGGTTAATAGAGTGGGACATATTATTGCCTCATGCATGTGCATTCATGACTAATGGGGAAGATTTGGGGTATTCACAAAGCAGGAAAGTGATTTGTATACACTGGAGGAATGGAAGTCCCTAGAACTCTTCCAGTTGGACTCATAGTGAGAGAAGAAAGATGACTAGCTCAACTATGTCACTTAACCATTGATATTTACACACACAAATATGCCAACTTGGGGAAAGTGGAGTTGCTTTCAAAATGAAGTTTAGAAAAGAGGATTTTCAGTGTGCTTAACCAGTCAGAGAGACACCATGAAATTGCAATCTGGTCACCAGAAATAGGCCTCTGCTATAAGCAAGGGTATTTCACCAGGCTTTCCCAGAGCATAGGTAAAACAGGCCCCCCAAAACATTTTCCCTAACAGAGTCTATGCTCACCAAGGAGCCTCATGCATAATGGACCCTGGGAAAGGATATACTTATTTTGATAAGTAGGCATCTGGTTTATTACATCAGTCTAGGTGAAAACTTAAGGAGCTTGAGACAGTCCAACTGAGCATCAAACCTTGAAGCACTGAGGTGTTCTCCCTGAGAAACTGTGTCTGAATTATATATATCCTATATATCTCTCTGAAAACAAGGACAGACATCTTGTATTTTGAGATTAGAGGCTAGTTGAGGTGCTCAATAATCTTTAATACTTAGAGGAATACAAATAATTTAAAAGTCAAATAGTTTAAACTTCTAACAAAAACAGCAATTCTTGCCCTATTCCTCCCCATCTCTGAGTCCCATTTACTACAGGGTTAACCACTCATAACACTTTTAATTCTTACTTTCCCATTTCTGCTATGCTTGTTCTGGTATATACAAGTTTATTTTGGCATTAAAAAAGGTTTGAAATCCATGCATGGTTCTTTCATAATATGCAGTTCTATGAATTTGTGGAAGAGCCTCATAGCTAACTACTATATCACTTGAATTTTCCTACCAACAGCATCACAAAGAGAAATTCAGGCTGATGCTATCAATGAGGCTGTTGTTTCATTTACTGAATGTTGATACAACTTTCTAGAGATTTTGTGAGGCTTAAACAAACTGCTTCCTGTAAAGGGTTTAGAACAGTGTATGGCCCATATTATCACACAAGCATTAGATATTAAAAAGGTCATTCACGTCAACCTGTAAATAAAAGTACACAATATCGCGAGGTAGGAAGCTCTAATCAGGGGTCCTAATTAATTCACTTGGCTAATAGGCCTAGACTACTTAAGGAGAAAGTTTGTATATTGACTCACGTGAAGAGGTTAGATCAATTTCGCAGGAACTATTGCCAAGACTATTAATGGCAGTACACTGGTAGTAACCTTGCTCAAAATTTGTCAGATTTCCAATAACCAAATTCCCTGTGGCTGGATCTGTTGAAACCAGGAAATAGACTTTTGAGATCTCTTATATGGATACAGATCACATCAGTTTAACATCATTCCCACATTGGCCTCTCTTTCTTGAGATATCCAGGGTCCAACTAGACCCCTCAGGACTGTTCTATTTCCATCATACTCACCACCTGTGAGCTGGCTTCTAGAAGTTGGAGAGTAAATCAGACCATATTCATCGTGTTGGCAAACAGACATTCTTTTTACACCACCACCGCCCCCTCCCCCAAGAAAAGAGATGATTAAGCTCAAAGAAAAAGCAGTCAGCCACACACTCATACTATCAGATGGGTACAAACATCAGACCTTTTTAGGGGCTGGTGAGGGTTATACTTACTGAAGCTTTCTTTCACTGGTATGATGTCTCCTCCCTCAACTTTATACCAGTAGTATACAGGGGAAGGTGTTCCAAGTGTAGAGAGACAAGAAAGGGAAATAGCGTGGCCAGTTTCTGGTCTTCCTTGAATGCTACAAAAGGGCTTAGAAGGTTTGACTGTAAGGCAATGACAAAGAGTGAAATTTCTGCAGGATGATCAGCAGTCTGCAGTTGCAGGCACTTCCTCACTTTCATTTTGCAGAATATATTTTTTTTTAAAAAAAAAAAAAAAAAAAAAACTTAGTTAAATTTATTTTGACTGTTTTCTGGTTGTACCACCAGGTGGGAGTAGAGCACTTCAGGTACAGGGATTTTCTAGTCAGGAGGCCATTAAGATTCCAATAGTGTCTCCTCAGCATCCTCTCTTGAGTTATAACCATGAATTTCTGCATCGTGTCTTAAAATATGCTTTTGGTAAAACATCCAAATGTAAGCAAACATTAAACAACTAGAACCCTAGTTTATATTTTAAAAGCACAATTTTAAAGGAGAATATAACCCTTAAACACTTTGAGATAAACTGTTTTTCTTTTAAAAATTGTTTTATAAATGTTTTATTTTTCTTTTATCAACTCTTTGCATTTATCCATTTATGGGTGACACAAAACAGTTGGAAAATTTGAATTTGCTTGTCTCCCTCATTAATAGAGGAAGGCCATATGGGGTGTATGTGCTACACAGCACTGAAATCTTTATTCATTCCAACAAGTTTTTAGCTACGTGCCTTCTGTGTGCCCAGCACTGGACTAAATTAAGCACCAGGAATTTAAGAGTAACAAGTCTGAAGTGGGGTGGGGAAATGATGACAGGTGATGACGTTTGTCAGTGGCAGAGGTTTTATCTTAGAAGGTGTCGTATGTCATGGATTTTATGCTGGGGGGTGGTGCATGGAGGGAGTTTAGACACAGGTATGATGGTGGTCATTTTAACATTTTAAATAGATAGCTCCTACTATAAGAGTGCCTGAATCAAAGGAGAGAAGGGGACAGATTGAAGAGGTAGTGAGAAACTAGTATTAACAGGACTTGGTGGTCAACTGGATGTGGAGGGTGAGAAAGAGGGTGGGGTTAATGAGACTCCAGGTTTCTGATAACGACAGCAAGGTACACATGGTTTTGCCATCCCTTGTAACAGTATGAAAAGCAAGTTTTAGAAGAGGTGATGAGGAGAAAGGAGTGATAATGAGGTCAGTTTGGGACATCATGAGGGTTGGTTTTTTTTTTTTTTTTTGAGAGAGATTTTGCAATAGGGTCTGTGTGCTCACCAGAGAGACAGAGACAGCAGGACAGCAAGAAACCACTCCCAGGGGGTATGGGCATGCCACAATCTCTTCTCCTCCATTTTCCTCTCAAGATTTTGGGCACACATGCACATGTACCTGGGGCTCAAACCACGGTTGACTACATGGGAGTCCAGCAATGTAACTGTTATGCCATCTGCTGGTCCTAGGACATCCTGAGTTTTTAACTGCTTATTTAAAACACCTCAGTGAGAAGTCTTGTGGGATGCTGGGAACCTGATTCTTTTCATTTTCTTACTTTACACAGATTATTATATATCCTTAATCTTATATACAGATAATGATCTGAACTTCTATACTTTCCAACTTACCTTCATTATCTTAATCTGGATATAAAATTCTCCAAAAGCTTAGGTTCTCTAATTCAGGTGAATTAAACCTTAGGTACTTTAGACTGCTAAGCCCTCCAGCCAAGAGCATAGCTCTGGATGCATAAATCCCAGCTTTGTAATTTTATTCTAGATGTGTTTAGGCAAGTTATCTAACTTTATCAAACCTCAGTTGACTCATCTGTAAAATGTGAATAATAGATACACTTCTGGTTAATTAAAAGATGAAATAAAACATTGTATACAGGGCCTGCACATGGTATACTGTTGGTCCTGGGCAGAACTAATT